ATGTTTAAATGAGTTTTTTTTTATATATAGTTTTATGTTTATTTACATTTTTTAATAAATCTAATACGATATTTATATTTTTATGTTTGTTTAACTTTTATTAAATGTATCCTAACATTTTTATTTTTGTAGTAAAGATAACAAAAAGAGTTACAAGAAAGTCAAATGGCTATATCTCAACCAGAAACATATTAAATGATGCAATTGATAAGTTGTTTATGACATGACATTCAATTTAATATCAATCAGACATTACTTGGGTGTATCTTGGTATATGTTACGCAACTTTTGATACATTTTGACTCAATTTTTGGTATATTTTTACGTAACTTTTGATATACTTTGATGCTATTTTTTAATATATATTTTTACTCAATGTTTATAAGTTCTAGAAAGATAATGAAAATACTATTATTCATTTGGTTTTATAAATATAAGGATTTATTTGTTAGAATAATCTATTTAACAAATTTTAAAAAGTCCAAGGATTCATTTTATAAATCTCAGAAAGTCTAATAACTTATTTATTTAAAAAATTGTCCAATAACTTAATCATTTCAAACACAAAAATCCATTGATTTTTAAAAAAAAAAAATCTTTTATTTAAAATTATAAATCAAATCAAATAATATTTTAGATGGGACCCAAAATGTGGAATTATTGGTACGAAATGGGATGATTCTTTCCTTTTGAATAAAACAATGGCACAAGATTGAAGATTCCACCAGAATACAGATAAGGGCACGAGGCCACCACACGCCCGTACCAACCCATTTATCTCAACCGTCCACGTGTCTCTCTCTCAACGGTCCATCCATACCCGTATCCTATTTTTTCTCTCCTTTTATATTTCAACCCCCACTCTCCTTCACCTTCTCATCAGCATTCAACACAACACACTCACCTTTGATTTGGGCAAAATGTCAGCAATCTCATCATCGTCTAGGGTTTTGATCAAACCACCTCATGTAGATCTCGATTTTGCGTCGAAATTTCCGATTGGTTTTGTGAAATTTTCGTGTTTTTCACCATCGTCATCCTCTGTTTTGAGTTTGTCAAGAAGAAGAAGAGTCGTGCGTTGTAGTTCGACGGTGGATGAAGAGAATCTGGTGTTGAGTAGTGGTGTGTTGTTTCAGCCATTTCTAGAAGTGAAGAAGGAGGAGTTCATGGTACCGATATCTCCTCAGGCGTCACTTGCTCGTCAAAGGTATTTTGATGATTGTGAAGCCGCCATCAATGAGCAGATCAAGTAAGCTTTTTTCATAAATTTTAAATTGTTTTCATCGATTTTTTCTACTTGCTGTCAATTTGTATAAATCGTATCACTTGCTTGAGGTGCGTGTTTTACGTGTGTGTAGAGAGATCAGAGAAGTTCTATGTTTATGCAGAATGGATGGGTCATTAAAATGAATGGTTCATTGCCTTTGTTACAATTTGCTTTTAATATTAACGGAGATCTATTAAACGAAAATAAATGAACAAAAGGATGAGATGTGTGTAAAACTTACAGATTATTCGAAACTATGTCAAGAAAAAACAACATGTATGTTCTTCAGATTTATATCAAAAACCAAAGAAACTTGAATAAAAGATGCCTATAAATTGGATGAAATGTCTCAAAGAGATGTGATCACTTGTGCTTAATGGTCTGTAGGTTATGAAAGGAACATGAAGAGTTGAAGACCCTAATAAAATTAATAAATTTGTCCAATGTTTGATCGGTTTCCATTACTGATTCCAATTTGTAATACGTAAATGATGACATACTGCGATTACAATAACTGGAACATCAAGACACATGTTCCCAAAACTAAAAAAATTAAAGATGCATTCACCAAATGCGAAATGGTATAAACGATACCTACTTGGTTTTTTGGTTATTCATATCATGATTATGAAACACAGATCCATAAAATTCTTCTATTTTAGTGCTATGCATGTAATGGTAGCTAACATATATTATAATAATCAGACGTCTTTTTAAATGAAGCATTGCATATTTTATTGGTGAAAGGAGCTGTATGATTGCATATCCTTGACTGGAAAATTATATTCTGAGAAGCTAATGGGGTGGGGAGAGATCCTCCAACTCCTGCAAGATTTTGTCACCTAAAAACATGAACAATGTTTTTCAAGTTAAGCAGGATTGTTGTTAAGGGATGAGTTTTCTGGGTGAATGAGTCTTTGTTGAAGCCCAGAATTACACAAATTTATTTTATTTCTTGACTAAAAACAGTATCTAAGTCCTGGATGAATGGACTAAGAAAAAGAAATTCACTCATATCCCTATTGGACTACTTGTATAAACTCATCCCTACAGCCTCCACTACTAAAACTAAATTTCATATTTTCACTTCTTTGGTTCTCTTTAAATTTGAACTTGAAATGAACCAAAAGTCTGAGTCTATGTCATATTTCAACATTACTTTTTATCTTATTCCAACTTTTGTAGTCTTCTTACTGGGGCTTACTTCATTAATATTGCAGTGTGGAATACAATGTGTCGTACGTGTACCATGCCATGTACGCATACTTCGATAGGGATAATGTAGCCCTCAAAGGCCTCGCCAAGTAAACAAACAACTTGAATCCCTCAATCTTTATAGTAGAATCATTGAATCTTTGATAAAACTTTTGCTTGTTTCTATCAGATTTTTCAAGGAATCAAGTGATGAAGAAAGGGATCATGCAGAGAAGTTGATGAAATATCAGGTCTTTCTCACATATTTAAGATTATGGACCGGATAACAACCATTTTTGTTTACTTCCAATAAGAATCACATAAATAGAAACATGCTTTAGAAAATAGACCCCTAAACACTTGATCATGACTATTGAATCCTAAATCTTTATCTAATTATCACGATATTCTAAGTATAGAATACACGAGGTGGAAGAGTGAAGTTGCATAGTATAGTTAATCCGCCTTCTGAGTTTGAACATGCTGAAAAGGGTGATGCCTTATATGGTAAGTGCTAATCAGATATTTTCAATCAAATTACATCAAGTTATTTAGCACTTGTTTAGCGAGCATCTAATCGCATTTTTCCTTTCTTCTGTTGATAATATCAGCAATGGAGTTAGCATTGTCCCTAGAGAAGCTAACCAATGAGAAACTCGTCTGCTTACACGGGGTATGCCACTTAATTTTATCTCACTTTCTCTCTTTGTTACAACAGCTTTACTCTTTGAGGTAAAGTTGAGATCTTACTTTCCGTAGACCCCACCACCGGATGGGTTATATATATTGGGTTTGTTTGGTTTGGTTTGGTTTATGAATTATCATAGTATTCAACATATTTGAAATACTAATGTTGGTTATCCGTTGACATGCTTCAATATATAACCGAGGTTTTTTAAACTAAAGGTGGCAGATAGAAACAATGATCCGCAAATGACAGACTTCATTGAGGGCGAGTTTTTAGCCGAGCAGGTGAGAATCATAACCAGTATATAGGAACGCATATCGGTTTTGTTCAAAAATAAAAGAAAATGACCCAATCATATTTGCTTTCGATAAATCTGTATCATATTTGAATCCTTATGATGGATGTTTGATGGTAGGTTGAAGCAATAAAGAAAATTGCAGACTATGTCTCTCAACTTAGAAGAGTTGGGAAAGGCCATGGTAAGTTTGTTTTTTACCTTCTTTCTTGCTCTTACTTACAATGCATTATTATATACATATGATGTTTTTCTGGGCTAACTAAACAAAAGATGCTATTTGGTTATTGTCGAAACTACGTGATAACGTTGGTTTCCGGTTATTCGGTCCCGTAACCGATTAAACTAAATAAAAGATGTTATTTTTTTCATTAATAAAAACATGATCTGACATTGAATCAAATAATAATATACATATAAAACAATAAGAGTATAATGTGTTATTTAATTTATTTGTATGGAAATAAAATATATATAAAATAAATAGTTATTTTTGATGTGAGAAAAATGAATTAATGAAATTGCAGGGGTATGGCACTTTGATCAAATGCTGCTTCATGAGGGTGAGGGTGCATTATGAAGAAATCGTCGTAGGCTTTGTTTGGTTGTATCTTTAGCATAATAACTTGTACTTTGCTCAATTATATGTCTCTCGTCTTGTGATTCTAGTTTGTTAAAGGTTTTTATTTACTACTATAAACTATTATAGTTTTTATGCTCCATAATAAGCCTTTTCGCATTACATCCTCTAAAAAAATTTAACACATAGAAAGATGATTTTTGTTTTTTTTTACTTTTTCGATTTAAGGGTGTTTGGGATTGCTTATAAAAACAATTTACTAACTTATTTCGTTGTGCCACGGTAATAAGCACTTTTAAATGTTTGGATAAATAACTTGTATCGGTGCCAAACCGGTAATAAGAAGTTTTTGAATAAGTTAAACTCTTCTGACTTGTAATAAGTTGATAAGCATTTTTATAGAAAAGCATAAGTTGTTTCTAATAAGTAAACTTACTATTGTGTTGGATTTTAATCAAGAAAAACGTTAGATTCTATTGTTCTTAAAAGGGAGATGATAAAGGAAAATATATGAAAAATAAAGTGTGAATATAAAGGGTGTGTTTTGAGTATAAGGTGAAAGATAAACTTATTTTGAGAAAGTGCTACATTGAAACATGCTTTGGACATTTGATGCTATGATTAAAACAGGAAATGAAATTTTTGCAAACCATTCAATAAAATCTTATTCCAATTTCATTATATTCATATTCCCTTGAATTCCCCCAAATCAAAAATCACACAAAAACCAGCACGGAAAAGTGAAGCAACGAAAAAGTCGTGATCAAAGAACAAGATCGCAAAGTCGAAGAAGCAAAACAACATATATGATCCTGGAAAGCCTTTAGATACTGAATAAGATGGGTTGACCAACTTAAGAATCAGTATAAATAAGGGGTCGTTTACCAATTACCAACACAAACCGAGTAGATGCTGACTGGATAGAACTCATCATTCTCACTTACCAGGTAATGATTGTTAGTTAGTAAAACGACACGGCAAGATTGTTGGTAAAAGTTGTAGAAAGTTCTAGAAAGAAAATTAAAATTATTTTTCTGTTCTTTCAACTTCTATTCTTTAAAAAGCTCAAGAACATAATGCATTACCAATAAGAGCCTGCAAACCCTAAACCCCAAATAGCAAAAACAAAAGGTTTGCAAAACATTCATTATGTGTACTAATTTAACCCAAAATTCACTTTAAAAAAAGGAAAATCTATTACAAAATCAATTTCATTAACAAAGTGAATCTAGCCCATGAGAAGATGAACAGGATATGAATAAAAAATTTAGCAAAGCCCACATCATATCCATCCAAACAAACCACAAACAGTAGAGCAACTATTTCCATAGTAGTAGTGATAGATAATAATCCATAAATTGTTTTAGAAAACTAAAGATCTGAAAATGGTCTTTTTAGAAGATTCAAGAAGCAGATCAGAACATGTCTCACAAAGAAGCAAATAGTCTCCAGTTTGTCAAAACATAACTACCCTTAACATAACATGCAGGATTTTGAAGTTTCAAAATTGTCAAAAAATGAAAGATCAAAATATAACTCTCACCTAAAACAACTGGTATGGATTTAACATGACAAACCTCCACACAAACAGAATACAGAATTAGGCAGTGGCAGCTAGAGCAGCCTGCCTCTTTCTAGCCTCTTCAATGATGGTCAGCTTGATACCCTTACCCTTGGGAAGAGACACCCATGGCTTTGAACCCTTTCCAAGAGTGAAGACGTTGCCTAAACGAGTTGCAAACTCATGCCCAGTTGCATCTTGGATGTGAACCGTCTCAAAACTGCCCTTATGCTTTTCTCTGTTCTTAAGGATTCCAACACGGCCTGTGTTTCTTCCACCAGTCACCATCACCACATTCCCAACATCAAACTTGATGAAATCAACAATCTTGTTTGTGTCCAAGTCAAGCTTGATGGTGTCATTAGCTTTAATGAGAGGATCTGGGTAGCGAATGGTTCTTCCATCATAGGTGTTAATGTAAGGAATGCCTTTCTGACCAAATTGGACAGAACGAACCTTGCACAGCTTGAACTGCACAACAGAAGTTTCCTTTAGGTAAAAAACTTGAAAGGGAAATGCCACATAAAAGTTTTAACCAAACTTCACTGAGAGAAGAGCAAGCTAGCAAATGAAACTCTCTTAAAAAGCATAAGCTGGAATAAACACATTAATAACAACACAATTTTAAGCTTCAGTTGAGTTGTAACCAACTTCAGAGACGGTAAACAAAATTCCTTCATTTCTGCATGGTTATTTTTAACAGCCATGCATTAATGATTTTGATACAGAATACAACTAACCTTTGATTCCTCATCCCTGATTGAGTGCAGTCTGAACCGACCCTTTGTATCATATAGAAGACGGAAGTTTTCATTGGTCTTGGGAATTGAGACAACATCTATCCAGTGTCAAACAGAAAACCATAAGTAACACTATAAAAAAGAGATATCAGTTCAAAAATTAAAGCTCTGTTCATTTAGCCCACCATTTCACATCTAGGTCAGTCTCAAATCCTCACATCAAGAAAGTAACCCACAAGATGAGCACAGATGGAATAAAATGGACTGCACACAAACCCTTAAGAAGCATACAAATGAACTATGAATAGCTATAGCATGCATATAACTAGGTTAAAAAAATTCAATACTATTTGTTGCTCAAATCTCAAAGCACATGAATAATAATCTTTTAAGACTAAACAAAAGTTCCCAAGTCGCAAACAATTTAGCCCTTGCTAGACTGGATAATATCCTATCATAACATGATTCACACCAATACAGAAAACCTAGTCGGTTTTATTTCATTCTTAAACCCAGATATGTGCAGAAACAAACAATGGTAATCACCCACAAAAGAAAAGGAGCCAGTACAGATAAAACAATGAATGTATACTCACCCATGAAACCAGCAGGGTAAGTCTTGTCAGTCCTGACCTTGTTGTCCACAAGTACATGGCGTTGCATCAAAATAGAAATAACTTCACGGTATGTCAAGGCATACTTCAACCTATTCCTCAGTATGAGGATCAAGGGCAAGCACTCCCTGGATTTATGGGGTCCTGAGGATGGCTTAGGAGCCTGATATAGAGAAAATGGAAATCACAGTTATAAATCATAAAGAATTGGGAAAATAATCACAAATAAGAAGTGTTTTTCACATATACTTACGAAAGCACCACCAAGTTTATCAAGCATCCAATGCTTGGGGGCATTGAGCCTCTTCATATGTTTCTTCAAACCTCTAGCCTTCAAGACAGCATAAAACAGTGTTATCAATGCTTAAAAATCTTAAACTAACTAAACATCAATAAAGCCCCAGTATGCATTGCTTTGCTACATAAGTTGCACACATAAGCTTCAAATTTCCTACGGTAAGGATACTGCAATAATGATATATTGGAATGAATCGATGCAATATATAAGAAAGGTTAACAAAATCATGTCAATATTACCAAAATTACAAGGTCATCTCAACAGACAAGACACTTTGCACTAAAGAAATTGAAATACTAACTTAAGGCAGCAATCATATGTTCTAAAGCACACTTTTTTACTTGATATAATTATTTCCATGCAAGATTTGAATCTGCAGAAGGAGGATTCAATCGATTTAACTTGCTAGCCTTAAAACAAACATCCAAGTCAAAGATCCAACTTCTCTTTTGAACTGTTTCAAAGTAAAGACTTCAATAGCTAAAAACAATCAAACAAAAATGAAATGATTTGTAGATCAACATAAAGTGGAAATCAAAATCACACATCGCAAGCCTGTCGTGAACTTCCCTGAACTACTACAAACTATATCAGAAAGCAGCAAATTTCAAATAAAATTGAAATATCGAGCAGAGAAAAAAGAGGACTGTACCATGGTTGCGGCGTGGGGGTGTAGGAGATGAAAATCTCCGGTAGGATTCTTCTACGGCTGTCGTCTGCGGCCTTCAACACTTCCGATAACCCTAGTTCATTCGTTTATATCAGTTAGTTGAAGTTGAAAACCTATATTCCATTTGATTGGGCCTCATCATACAATTTGGGCCAGCTTTAATGCCAAACCCAAATATGTAACCATTTTTATATCTATACTTTATTAATAAACATTTAAACCAAAGTCTTAAGTACAAGTTTTAATGTATTAAATACAAGTTTTTAAAACACAAAATAAAAAAATCTCTTAATTACAAGGTTGTATATATAATGTACAACTTATTAATACACTGATTTTCACCACAACCAAAAATGGAGTCCTGAACTCAAAAAGATCTCATTTGGTATAAATTTTCTTTTCTCTCCTCCCTATAAAGCTTTCTTTTCTTTTCTTCAACTTTCATTTTTATACACAAAATAACCACTGAAACACAATATACAAATATTGTATGCATGTTTTGAATTCTTTAAAAGCTTTTGATCCTTTTGTCTTCACAAGAGATTAAAATTTATGGTTGCTTTCACCTTCTTTGTCTAACTCCATCGATTCTCTGCCCCCAATACCATTTACCTTCATCTTTTACTTTTTATTTGAATTTCAAAATTCAAATGGAAGAACTAGGTTGTCATTATTTTATAGTCTCTTGATGATTCTTGCCCCCATTTCAATTTTGCTTTACCCGGTGCATTGCACGGGGCTAGTATATGTAAGTTTAAAATAAGAAAATTTAAGAGAAAAGTTTGACTTTAATGTTTGTAATGATTAAGTTTTTTAACAATTTTTTGTAACAAATAAGTTCTTAAACATTCCAAAACATGTTAAATGACTCATTGGACTTTTTAAAATTTGTTAGATACGTTCTTATGACCTATACAACTGGTTAATGTGGTAAAATAATGAAAAAAATCTGAAAAATAATTTGATTAAATTACTGACGGATTAACGATAAAATTTAACTAGATACATAATTATTTAAAATTTGTGGCTGGTGTTCATTGGTATATATGTATGGATTACTTGTATTTAATTGACTGCTAACTTGACCATCGTCAGATGTTCTAAAACAGTAACATGTTAATAAGTGTGAAGGATCATGCTTGAATCTTGTCGGTGATATCATTTCACTGACGGATTAACGACGAATTTTAATTAATTATGTATTTAACTAAATTTTATCGTTAATTCATCAGTAATTTAATCAATTTACTTTCTATTCTTTTAATTTGAAAAATCACCAACGAAATATATTCTATTTTTAATTAAAACAAATTTCATCATTAATTTTTTTTCAAATCTTTTTTTTATTTTTTAATTTAAAAAATCACATACAAGATATATTTTATTTTTAATGAAAATAAATTTAATCAGTAATTTTTTAAATGTAAATATTTTTTTTGTAAATGTAAGTACTTTTTTGGTATATATTTGTTTTATTTTATTGAGCTAAGTACTTTTTTTGTTCAAAAAATGTTAAAGACTCAATCATTCAAAATATAAATGTCTATTGGCTTTTTTTCAAACATTTTCCAGTATTTCACACCACATTAACCAGTTGTATAAGTCATAAAGATGTATCTAACATGTTTTATAATGTCCAATGAGTTATTTGACATTTTGGAATGTGCAATGACTTTTTTGTTCCAAAAAATTGCCCAATATCTTAATCATTACAAATACTAAAGTCCATTGGATTATTTTAGACTTTTTTCTTATTGTTTAACTGATAAAATAGGAATGTATAAAGTTTATATAGATTACTAAATTATAAATTAAAAAAAAATAAAGTAATAAATAAAATAGTGAAAGGGCAAACCATAATTTAGAATAATGGCTAAATTATGATTCTAAAGATCAACTATATTCATGTTCGAAACATAAGGATTTAGATTTTGTATCAAATTAATTCTTAGAATAAAGCCTGTTTATTGAGTGCTTACTCGGTACAGGTCACCTTAACTTATCAGATGAACATGACAAAGATTGAGAATCATATCCGGTAAGAGTAATGACAAGGATCGAGAGTTTTACTCGGTAAATGAGAGTGATAACTCTTACCCAGTAAACACTAACAAAATAAAAATGTTGCATATGATGTCGTTTTAATATATTAAATTCTTACATGATAAGTTAAGTCAAAGTAAAGCGACATGGTCAGGGGCAGATCCGACCTTTAAGCACTGAGGGAAAGACCCCCAGTTAAAAACCAAAAACCTTTGTTGACTACCTTAAATTTTTTATTTTCACCATCGTCTTACATGGTTTCCCCCAAGTCCCATATGACCATATGTTTCCCTCCCCCACGTCCCATCCAACATGCCCCCACCCCATTAATTTCCTGGATTTGCCACTGGACATGGTGATTTTGTCCAAATACAAAACAGGTTACCGGGCTCGATCCCAGACCCCCTTCCCGCCCTCGCTAGCCTCAACCGCTGAGTGAGCTAAAAAAATACCCCTTCATATTGATGTCGTTAAAAACGAATTTCATATAAGATCGATTAGAGTTGTCGGTGATCTAACTTTTTTTATCAAAATAGTAATGTATGTGTTCCTACTTGTAGATCCGCTGTTGTTGTCTTGTTTGTCCCAACAACCCTCTCTTAAAGTAGCAGCCATCAAATTGCTATAAAACGAACACCCTCTGTAGGTCCTATCCCATGTGCTCCCTTCTTTTCTTTCATCTTGTATTTAAATAGAAAATTATGATTTATAATTATAAATGTCAATTTTTTTTTAATAATATTATAATAAAAAAAAAAAAAAAAACTGCTGTATGAAAGGCTCCATAACAAGATATTTTAGATTTTTTATAATTAAAATGAGATGTTTATCATGTATTTAATTATACAAATTCGAACATAAAATTTAAATAAACTTATAAAAACCTTAAGGCTACCTAATAGAACATGAGGGTTTATCAGAACCCTCCCTTTTCTTTTTTATATATAAATAATAATTATATAACTCTATTTGTTTGTTTATTTAAGATAAATGTATCAATTTTAGTATATANAAAAATCACATACAAGATATATTTTATTTTTAATTAAAATAAATTTAATCAATAATCTTTTTTAATAATTTTTTATTTTTTTAATTTGAAAAATCACTGATAGAATATATTTTAATTTTAGTTAAAAGAAGTTTCATCGGTAATTTTTTTTAATGTAAGTACTTTTTTGGTATATTTGTTTCATTTTATAGATGTAAGTACTTTTTTGTTCAAAAAATGTTTATGACTTAATCGTTCAAAATATGAAAGTTCATTGTTTTTTTCAAACTTTTTCCATTATTTTACCATATTAACCAATTGTATAGGTCATAAGAATATATTTAACAGGTTTTAGAAAGTCTAAGAAGTTATTTAACATGTTTTAGAATGTCCAAGGGCTTATTTGTTTCAAAAAATTGTCTAAGAACTTAATCATTACAAACACTAAAGTCCATTAGGTTTTTTTAGACTTTTTCCGAAATTTAACATATTGTTACAAAAGGAAAAACAAACAGAACAAAAGTAAAATAGAGAGACAGAAATCTGTAAATTTTATCAATTATAAATCATTTATATAATGATGAGTTACAAGTGGATAACTATGAGAGATATTAGTTCTAATCTATCTCTAATATGTTTGTCTCTATCTATATCTCAATCTTTATTGTCATTATCTTTTAAAGATATCACATTTATCCTACAACACTCCTCCTTGTGGCGAGTCAAAGAAGTGATTATGCACAACTGTTGTCTCATTAAAATCTTACGGCAAAATAAAAAACCTAGTGAAAGAAAATAAAAATTGGACAAACAAAATAGTACAACGCACCGGTTTTTTGCAATATATAAACTTTTCCTTTAATATAATATTCTCTCATATTTGTACATTAATCATGAGAGTTAAGAAAGTATTACGATATATAAATTGTTGTCTCACTAAAACTTTATACCAAGGAACAAAACCCAATGGGAAAAATAAAACTTTAGGTGAAGGAAAGAGCTCAATATATCAATATTACATATATAGTAGACTACATATTGTATACTACTCCTGATATTAATCTAGGGAGTTTGGAAAACATTTGCATTTTAATATTTTCTACATATCTCCCAAATATGGGTTTAGGTAATTATTTGGTAAGCAAATATGTCAGATTCTCCTAGCATTTTACTTGATTCACCTGAATCTAGAGAAGAGTTTGTTATTGCTTATTGTATAGAAACTTAAGTATAATATGTTTTGTGTTTTCACCCATGATGTATCTTACTTTCATTTCTTTGAAACATGATACATTATTTCCATATATGGTGGTAGGATAGTGGTTAAACTCAAGACACTTAGATCCTCTACTATATGTAATGATAGTTCTTAACTATTTACACTATTGAATGACCTTTTGGTAATTCCTTATCCATTTTGGGAATGACCTTTGTATGGGTCAGCAGACACCTAATATCAACAAAGATATATTGAGACATTGTTTGGTATTTTTTACAAGGGCTAGTACTTTTGACACTCATTATCTAAGTATGTATTGAAATTCCATTATTAATCTCATTTTTCTCTTTATAAGGAAAGTATAAGTCCACGTAAGTTTCTAAAAGATTAATGTGATATTATTCTAATGACGTTGTCTTGTCGCTGAGCTAAATCTAGCTAACAAGTTCACTGAGAAATACAATATACAGTCAAATGTATTGTGCAAAGTACAATAATGTGCCTATTGTACTTAGATAGGGATTTCCAGCTCCCAACACCTCTTCCTCATCATTTTTTAGACGAAATAGATTTTTCCTTATATTCAACACTTTGACCGATCATGGGAGTGCTAGTCGGATGCGTTTTGTCCAAATTAAATCGTTTGATCATTTTTGGACATATGCGGATCGGTGGATTAATATTCCAAAAACTTGGTGTTCGAGCTCCAATAGCTAGATAGAACCAAGTTTTTCCAAGACCGTTCATCTCAAATTCAGATTTCAAGTAGATTATGATTTCTCTTATTTCATCAAGAGTGTCTATTATGTTCATAACATCGACATATAGAGCTACAAT